TTGTGGAATTAACGGCAACAATTCACTTTGTGCAGCATTGGCAGAAAAATACAGTTTGCTCAGGTTTTCCATGTCATTCTTTATTTGAGAAACATTTTCTTTTTGATTCATCAAACCTTTTATTTCAGGTATCAACCCTTTAATTTTATTGACAAAACCTTGAAAATTTTGAAGTTTTTCCACCTTGTACGCCAAAGCCTTTTCAGTGAGTTTTATCTCACGTTTCTGAGACTCCATTTCAGGCCGCGAGGCCGCACCACCCGTGTCACTCATTTTGTTTGTTCAAATATATATTTTCAAGTTCTTTATTCAATACACGTCACAATAAACTCATGCAAACACGTGTAGCAATGATTATGGAATCATTTCATTTCAACATACCGGCATAATCACTTTTCACAATGAAACTCCAGAGCAGCGCATTATTTAATCCACAATTGAAGCCGTCAATCAGAGCGTGCTGCGCGTAAAGATCAGAGAGCGCGCGCATGGACTCCTGTTGCATCCGAGCATTTATTCCTTGATGTCCAGACACAAGCAGTATGAATAGACTTTAATGCACGGATTCCTTTTCCACAAACAAACGGTGACAGGTGGGCTTACCTGCTCTCTGCAAAATGGCGTTTGGATGCGTCTTTGTCCAGCGCGTAATGGCATGGCACAGTTTACTCACATGGCTTCAACATTGCGAGCGGTGGCTTTCATTGTCTTTAATGCCCTTTTCGTTGACAAATGTAGCGACCCAAACCTATGTCGCTTCTGGAGAGAAGAGTGCGGGTCCAGTATAATGGATGACGCGCTGCCGATTGTAAAGACCACGCTGGAGGCACGTAATGCGTTTTGTGGATTTAATTGTATCTGCGGTTTATGATTGTTACAGTGCATATGAGTAAAACAGAAAACAAAAGAATATGGACCAAAAGTGTGCGGTCAACGAAAAATACAGCTACCCGGCTTCTCCCCTCTCCCTGTCACTGAGCGGAAGCGAGTGCCTTTCAAAACTCCCGGCACGACAACCATGCCCACGTGACCCACGCCCCCTGACACGTTGCCATAGCAACCATACCCATGAACCAATAGATATGGCTCCTACAGTCCTGTTGGCTCCAACGAACCAGGACCTGCAGCATGCACTGGGACGGTTTGCAGCCGAGTGTGAAGCGGCTGGGATGAGAATCAGCACCTCCAAGTCCGAGGCCATGGTGCTCGACCGGAAAAAGGTGCCTTGCCCTCTTCAGGTGGGTGGAGAGGTCCTTCCTCAAGTGGAGGAGTTCAAGTATCTCGGGGTCTTGTTCACGAGTGAGGGAAGAATGGAGCGTGAGATTGACAGGCGGATCGGTGCAGCGTGCGCAGTGATGCGGTCGCTGTATCGGACCGTTGTGGTAAAGAGGGAGCTGAGCCGAAAGGCAAAGCTCTCGATTTACCGGTCAATCTTCGTTCCCTCCCTCACCTATGGTAATGAGCTTTGGGTAATGACCGAAAGAACGAGATCGCGGATACAAGCGGTCGAAATGAGCTTCCTCCGCAGAGTGGCTGGGCGCTCCCTTAGAGATAGGGTGAGGAGCTCAGTCACACGGGAGGAGCTCGGAGTAGAGCCGCTGCTTTTCCACGTCGAGAGGAACCAGTTGAGGTGGCTCGGGCATCTGTTCCGGATGCCTCCTGGACGCCTCCCTGGGGAGGTGTTCCGGGCACGTCCCACCGGGAGGAGGCCCCGCGGAAGACCTAGGACACGCTGGAGGGACTATGTCTCTCAGCTGGCCTGGGAACGCCTTGGGGTCCCCCCGGACGAGCTGGAGGAAGTGTGTGTGGATAGGGAAGTCTGGGCGTCTCTGCTTAGACTGCTGCCCCCGCGACCCGGCAACGGATAAAGCGGAAGAAAATGGATGGATGGATGGATGGATACCACCCCTGTTTACGTTTTGAGTATTCAAGTTCTCTGAAGTTAGTGTTAGTATTAGATAGCAATATGGCCTACGTGCAGGACTGTACAAGGACTCTACAAGGACTCCATGTTATGACTATGATTTGACTGTCTCTTTGTGACACGTATGTCTTCGATGTGTGACGTGACAATGACTATATAAACTGTGTACTGCCTTTATTCTGTCTGGGAGAAAGAAACAGAGTAAACCAGTGGAACTTGAGAGAAACTTAAATAAACTTCCAGAGTTTGGCACACCACGATCCGTCTCTGTCTGCTTAAATCCCTGACAGATTTGGTGGAGAATGCGCGGCTCGGTTTGTGCCATTCTCTGGATTGTTTTGAGGGAGTTTTGCTCTGTTTCTTTTCCTCTGCGTGAGAGATCGGCATGCTGTGTCTGGGAGCGGAGATTCCAGCAGGCTGGAAGAGCTGTTCCTGGATGCTTCTTGTCGCTTCTGTCACTTTTGTTGTTTAAATTGAATTTTTCGACGCGGAAAAGATGTTGGTCGACCTCTCGAACAGTCCGGACAAAGAATTAAGGTAAGCAGACACCTTTTTTAATATGTAAAGTCTGCATAATTGGATACTAGCTAAATTTTGAGCTGTCCCGGAGGTCTGTCCAAATCTCTCTAAATCAAATTTTCTTTGTTGTGTCTTTGTCACGTCTTTGTCATGTCTTATGTTGTAGAAAACAGGTTAGCTGTGTGGGTAACCAGTCCCTATAGGAAAAAGGAACCCCTGATGTATCGGGGTCCCTGTCCTTTGAAGTAGTCAGGACAGAGAGAAAAAGGAACCCCTGACGTATCGGGGTGTCTGTCCTTTGAAGTAGTCAGGGCAGAGAGAAAAAGGAACCCCTGACGTATCGGGGTCCCTGCCTTTGGAGTAGCCGGGGCAGAGAATAGAGAATAGAAAATAGTTAGTGAAACCATGGTGTAAAATTAAAAGTAATTATAAAAAGGGAAACGTTAAACACTAAAGAGTGCCTTTTGTTACTAGTGTGGAAAGTGATCATTTCTAGACTTGGATGACAAAAGTATAAAGAACAACATAAGTTATATTTGCTTAACAAAGTAATCTTGAAAGTTATTCTTCTGTATCTTTTTGCCTGTGTGTGCACATCTCTATCTGCTGCCGTTGTCAGGGAAACGGCCCCCACCTTCGCTGCTCTGATTTAAAGGGGAGCTACTGCTTTTAGGAATTTGGCTTTTCATAGTTTTTATTCCGTTAAATTTGCGAAATTTGCCATTGAACATTGTGTTATGACACAGTTAAACGTTTTTAAACACCATTAGTGAATAAGTTTTGAATTAGTATGTTTTTGAAACCCAAAGATTAGTGCTAAAGCTGTGCAATTCTTTTTAGATCTAACATATTTCTAGATTCCATTCTTTTTAAATCTGCTGCTTATTTCTTAACTTTTTGTGAGTTGTGTTTGTTTTTATGTTTTTATTTTAGTTACAAAAGCCGTTTTTCAAAACATTTAAATTAGAATCCGTGTTAAAAGTGATTAGAATGATTGATGTATAGAGTTTGTGTAAAAAAGAAAAGAGGGATTAGGAATAGAACAGGATAGCTGTAAAAGTATTATTATTAAGTTGAACTGTGACCCAATTCACAGTCTAAAAGCTGTGAGTTTTGTGAGTTTTGTTTTGTCTATAGCTCTGGCCTTGCAGCTGCTGCTCACTGCAGAGCGAGCAGAGTTTGATTACGTCCGTTAATTCAAAATGTTTTTAAAAGTTTATTGAGTGCATTTGAAGAATGCAGCAATTATCTTAAATTAGAATATATGCTTTAAATGTTCAAGTGTAAAAGGGAGATTTTTCATACAGTTTTAGTTGCGATTTGAGTAATAATAATAATTCATTCTATTTTATGGCGCATTTCAAGAAATCCAAGGACGCCAAGATTAAAAACATCACACAGTACAGAAGTACAAAATAGAATACATTTTTTAAAGTTTAAAAGGTTTAAGAGATTTGAGTCTTGTTTTTTATTAAGAGTTTCTGGTTTTAAAAAGTTTCACATTAGTAAGATAATAAGTAATCTTTATTTACATAGCGCATGTTGAAAAACCCAGAGCGCTCCAAAATTGTTTAGACTTAGAGAGAAAAACAATCTCATTCGCATACTGATATCTGTTGTTTTTTAAATTGGCCGTCTCAAGGATTGTTTTTCAGACTCTGGCACACTGTGGGAGGGGTCACTGCTGGACACTGGACAGCGCAAAGCCCACCCAGCCACAGGTCACAGAGCTAAGAGCAAAGGGAAATGCCACCTCCTTGCCCCTCCCCACGTCACTGCAGAACTGAGTGGGTGTGAGAGAGACCGGGGCCATGAAAGAGAGGTATCTGGAGACGTGATGGGTGGAGCATCAGGGAGAGACCTGAATGAGAGTTGAGAGTGTGTCCAGTTGGTTTACATCACCACAGTGTGACCTTTGACACCTACGGGTGGTTCGAGGAGTCTGGAGAAACAACCCCAAAATTCACATACACACACACACACACATACACACACATACACTCACACATTCACATTTACATATAGATACATGAAAAAGCAGAACATGAGAAAAAAGCATTTTAAAAGTTTACTCCAATGTAAACACATATTTTTAATTGTCTATCACTTGAATCTTTATTTGAATCTGTATTTTTTGAGACCAGAAATGTTCATTTGAATTCTATATTGTCATGGACTAATTGACCTCTGTCCTGACACTTTTGATTTGTTGATTTTGTACTCTGTGAAGTAATTACATTGATTACATCTGATAAAAACCCAAACCCAAATTAGAGAAGTAAACTGAATCATTGCGCTTGCTTTTGTCTAAGGGACATTAGCAACAGCATGAATAGAAATTGTCTTTAAAGTAGAATCAAAGTGACTTAACCATAGAGAGTAACTACTGCATTATCAAGCTGTGTACAGGAACTGAGACACTGCACCATTGACCAGAAGTGCATCGCAAATGACCTGATGTGCTTCGAGTGAAAAGACTGTATCTGGAGATCCGATGTCCAACTGGAGAGACCAAAACCATGGCTTGGACCCTACTGATGACCAAGATGACATCTCTCTATGACCTGACCTGATGACGACTGAGACTCACCCTCAGGGGACCCTGAGGACCTGAGGACCTGAGGACCTGAGGACCTGAGAGAGAGAAACTGGACGGAGGGGCGGGCGGCGCGAGGCGGCCCTCGGCGGCCGGTTGCGAGTGCCGTCCGCTGGTGGGGCGCGGGTGCGCGGGTGCTCCGCGCGTGCGCGCGGGCCCCGGGGCCCGCGCGGGCGGATGTGGGGCCCTCGGGGTGTCGCGCTCCCCCGCCCGGGTGGGCTCTGGCGACAGGCCCTGGCCGCCGCTGGGGGCCGGGCGGGCCCGGGCGTCGCTCCGGGGCGGAGCCCGCGCGCGCGGGCGCGAGCGGGCGGAGGGGCCGCGCGCCGGGGCGGCGGGCATCCGCGCGCGGCGCGAGTCGGCGGGCGGTGCGGGGTGGGCGGGGGCGCCCTGGGCGGGGCGGCCGGGTGGGGGGGGGGGCCACCGGGGTGCGGGCGCGTGCGCGGGGCCGGGTGGCGGGGGAGGCCTGCGCGGGGGGGCCGCCGCCGCGGCTGTGCGGCGCGGGGGGGCGGGGGGGTGGCCGCGGGCAGGGCCGGCCGGGCGGGCGCGTCGGGGGCTGGGGGGGTTGGGCCTGGGCGTGACCGCGGCGGGGGGGGGGCCTGGACGGTCGCGGGTCCTGTTGCGCGCGGGCCGCCCGCGCCCCGGGAGGCGGCGAGCCAGGCGCCGGGCGTGCGCCGCGCGGCGGCGCGGCGCTGGCCGCCCTTGGGGCCGGGGGGGCGTCGCGAGGACGGGCGGGGCGGGCGGGCCTGCTGGCCGCGGCCGGGGTGGAGCGGGGGTCCCCGGCCCGGGCCGCTGAGAGGGGCCAGTGGGGGCGGGCCGCCGGGCGCTGTCGCGGCGCGGGGGGGCGGCGGTGGCGCGGGGGGCGAGTGGGCCGGCCGCCCGGCCCGGCCGGGTGGGGCCGGCGGGGCAGCCGGCGCGCGGCGGGGCGGGGGGGGGCGCGACCCGAGGGGTGGGGGGGGCCGCCGAGGGCGCGTGCGGGGGCTGCGCGGGCCGGGGGGGCCGGGCGGCCGCGAGGCGCGGCGGCGGGCCGCCGGCGTCGGGGGGGTGGGAGCGCCGGGGCCTCCGGGGCCAGTGGGCGGCGGGCGGTGGGGTGGGGGGGGGCTGGGGTGGGGGTGCTAGCGGGGGGCTGGGGGGGCGGTGCCCCGGGGATGGTGCTGCGGGTGGGGTCTGCGGGGTGGCGGTCGCGGCTCCGGGCGGGGGGTCCGCGCTCCGCGCGCCCGGCGGCGGGGCGGTGGGGGCGCGGGGGCGGGGGCGGCGGTGCCCGGGGTGCGGTCGGCTGGCGCCGCGCGTGGGGGGGGCGGGGGGCGGCGGCCTGGGGCCGGCCGGGCTGGCCTGGGGGGGGCGGCCCCATAGTGGTGGCGCCGGGGGGGCCCGGGCCTTGCTCGCCGACGGCTGCCGGCGGGGCAGGGCAACCGGGCCGAGGCGCGGGCGCGTCTCGCTGGGCGCGAGGCGCCGGGGCGTGGCGCGCGGGCCGCCGCCCGGGGGGGCTCGCGGGGCGGGGCGAGCGGGCCGGGCCGCGGCGAGGCGGCCGGGCCGCGCGGGCCGGAGGCAGGCGGCGGGCGCCGGGTAGCCGACCCGCGCGGGGGCGCCCTGCCCGCCGCGGCTTCGTTGGGCGCCGCGCCGCTGGCGGCCCGCGCTGGGGGGTGGGTGGGCGCGATGGGCCCGGGCTCGGGGGCGCTGGGGGGGGGGGCGGCCCCCCGGGTGGGGTGGACGGGGAGTGTGGCGGGGTCCCGGCAGGGGGGCGGCGTGGGTCGTGGGCGGTGGGCGGGGCCGCCGTGGCCCGAGGACGGCGAGCCCGGCGGTCCTGGCGAGCCGGGCGGAGCGCGGGGCTGAGAGCGGCGGACGGGCCCCGGGGGGGGGCGGGGGACGGGGGCGAGTTCGCCGGCCGAGGGCTGCCTGGGGCTGGGCGCCGTCGTGGGCACGGCGGAGGGCGAGGCGCCGGGTTGCGGGTGCCCGTCCAAGCCCGCGGCGGCGGCCCGGCGCTGGGCGCCGGCGCGGGCATCCGCGCGGGCCGCGGAGGGGGGCGCCTTCGGGGGGCGACGAGCGCGGCCGGCGAGGGCGGGGGGCGCGCCGACCGGCCTCGAAGGCGGGCCGGGCGCGGGCGGGGGCCGGGCGGGGGGGTGGCGCTGCGGTGGCCTTGGCCGCCCGGCGGCCGGCGGGGGGGCTGGGGGGGCGGGCGGCGTCCGCGCCCGGCGACGCGGGGCCTCGGCCGAATGGGCTGTGGCGGGGGGCCGCCGTGGGGGCGGGCGGGGCCGGGGCGCGGCGCGGCGACGGCCGGGGCTTGGGGCAGGGTGCCTGCTCTGATGGTGCGGGTGGCGCCCGCCGGTGCGCCGCGCGCCGGCGCCCGGCGGGCTTGCTCCGGGGCGGGGGCGCCCCAGCCGGGGCGCCGGCCGCGCGGGGCGGGGCGCCTGCGCCTGGGGGGCGCTGGGGTGGGCGGCTTGCCACTCGGGCCTGGGGCCGGCGCGCGCGCGGGGCCTCCGCGGCCCGGCCGGGGGGGCTGGGCATTAGCCGGGGCCGGCGCGCTGCGCGAGTGCGGCGCTGCTCCCCGGTCGGTGCCTTGCGCCCCGCAGTCGGGGCGGGGACGTGGCGCCGGGCCACGCTGCGGGGCGGGGGGCTTGGCGGGGGCTGCCCGGGGCAGCCCGGCTCGTGCCGCGGGCGCGCGCCGCCCCTGGCGGCGGCGCGGGGGGCGCGAGGCGGAGGGCTCGGCCTATGCTGTTGGCGTGGGACGGTTGGGGGCGGCGGCGGGCTGTGGGGGCGGCCGGGGCCCCGGCGCCTCCGCGGGGCGGCAGCGGGGCGCTGGCGGAGAGGCCCGGGGTCCCCGGCGTGGCGCGTCTTTATCTTGCTGAGTTCCCCTCTCTCCCTTCTCTCTTCTCTTCCTTCTCTCTTTTTTCTTTTTCTATTTCTATTTTCTCTTCTCCCTTCTTCGCCTTTCTAGTTTGTCCCGGGAGCCGCACGCGGCGCGTTCGGACGGGGCAGGGGCCGCTGGCCGGGGGGCGCTGGGGGCGGGGCCGCGGGGCGCCGCGGTGCTGGGTCCTTGGCTCGCGGCGTCGCCAGCCGGGGGGGGCCCCCCGCTGTTGGCCCCGGCGGCCCAAGGGCCCGTAGTGTTCGCCAAGGGGCGGCCCACGCTCGGGGGTGGGGGGCCGGGGGCCGAGCCGGCGGGGGGGGTGCGGCACCCCCGGACGTGGGGGGTGCGGAGGGGCGCGCGCGCGCCGGGCGCCCGGGCCGGTCGGGGCCGGCGCGGCTGCGGGGCGGCCGGGGCGTGGGGCGGCGGCGCGGCCGCGAGCGACCGGGGCCGCCCGGGTCCGGGGGCGGGGGGGGGGGGCCGGGTCGGTGGCCGGGCGGGGGCCGCGCTGCCGGCCGCGCTGGGGGCGTCCAGGGGGGGCGCGGGCCCGGCCCCCGGCCCCCCGGGTGGGCGGGGGGGGGGGGGGGCGCCTGGGGTGGCGGGCCGCCGGCGGGGCCCCGCGGTGTGCGGTGGCGGGGGCCCCGGCCTCGCCGGGGAGGCGACCGGCCGAGGCGGGGACCGGCCTGGGCGGGGCGGCGGGCCGTGCCGTGAGGCGCGGCCGCGGGCGCGGGCCCCGAGTCCTGCCGTGCGTGCGGGGGCCGGGGGGGCGCGCGTGGGGGGGGGGGCCCTGGGCGGGGGCTGGTGGGCGTGAAGCCTTGGGGGCGGGTGCCGGGGCGATCGGGCGCCGGGGCCGCGGGGCGCGGTCGGCCCGCGCCGCGGGCCGGCGCGCGGGCCGGCGTCGGCGCCCCCGGGCGGGGATGCCGAGGGGGCTGGCCGCAGGGGCATGCCGCACGGCGGCGGGAGTTCCTTGGGCGCGGGGGCGGGCGTGGCGAGGGGCTAGGGGGGGGCCGTGCGCCGGGGCGCTGGGGCGTGGCGCCGGCTCGGCGTGTGTGAAGGCGCGCGGCGGCGGCGGGGGCGGGCCTGGGGCGGAGGCGCGAGGAAGCGGTCACTGTGGCGGGCTGGGGCGGCACGCAGGGGCGGCGGCCGGGGGGGTGGCCCCTGCCCGCGGCGGCGGGCGGGCGGCGTCTGGGCCGCGTGCGGCGGACGTGCGGGGCCTGGTAGCGCGCCCGCGGCGGGGGGGGGCGGGGCCGCAGGCGGGCACGGGGGCGGCAGCGGGGCGCGCCCGGCGTGGGGGCCGGCGCGGCCGGGCGGCCGGGGGCGGCCTGCCCGGTGCGGCGGCGGCGGAAGAGCCCGGCGCGCGGGTGGGGCTCCGCGGCGGGTGCGGCTAGCTCGCGGGGGCGGGCCGGCCCGCCCCGCCTCGGGGGCGCGCGCGGTGGCGCGTCGGCCTGCGCCCCCCGGCCGGGGAGGTTCGTGCGGGGCTCGCCTCGCCCGCCGGGGGTTCCTGGCGGTCGCCGGGCCGGGCATGGGTGCGCGGTGAGGCTGCGCCGCCCCGGGAGCGCGGCCAGCGTTGGCGGGGGGCGGGACGCCCGGGTCGGGCGCGTGCCGCGGGGCCTCGGGCGCGCGGGATGCTGGCGGCGCCCGAGGAAACGTGGCCGGGCGCGAGGGAAAGGCGGGGGGGGGCGGCGCGCCGGCCGGGGCGGGGCGCCGTCGCCGAGGCGGCGTTGCGCGCCGGCGGGGCGGAGCGGGCGCCCGTGTGTGCGGGGGGGGGGCGGGACGGCGGGGGCGCGTCGCCGGCTCTGACGCCTCCTCGGCTCGCCGAGCGCCCTGCGGGCCCCTGGCCGGGGGCGCGGCGGGTGCGGCCGTGCGCCTGCGCGCGTGGGGCGGGGCTGGGCCGCGCCCCGCTCGGGCATGCTGCGTGGGCGGGCGCGCGGGGGAGCCGCCGCGCCGCGTGGCCCCGCCGGGGGCCGCAGCGCGGAGTGAGGGAGCCCCGGCGGGCCTGCGCGGGCGGCCGCGGGAGCCGGGGGTGGGGCCGGGCTGGGCCGCGGACGGGGCCGCGGGATCCGGAGCGCCCCGGGCCGGCCCGCGGGCCCGGACGGGCGGCGGCGGGAGCTGAGGCGGGGGGGGGGCCGGCGCTGGCGCGCCGGGGCCGGGCGGCGTCGGGGCGCAGGGCGTGTCGCCCCCATTAATTGTTGCTTATCCACCCCCCGTGGCGGGGGGGGGCGGGGAGGTGCTGTACAGGGGGGGGGCCCGGCCGGCCGGGCGTGCTGCCCCCGCGCCCGCGTCTTGCCGGGGGGGGGGTTGGCGCTGGGGTGCCGGGGGGGGCGCGGGGCCCCCGGCGCCGGGCCGAGGGTGGGTGGCTGGGCCGCTGGAGCGGGCGCGCGGCGGGCGAGCGGGGTTGGCGGCGTCCGCGGGCGGGGGGCTCGGGCGTGACGGGCGGGGGGGCGGCGGGCCGTCGGCTGGGGCCGTGGCCCGCGCGCCGGGAGGGCCTTGGTAGGGTGGGCCGCACCGGCGGGCTGCGCCGAGTGTGGGCGGGCGGGGGGGGCCGGGCCAGGCGGGGCGGTGGCGGGGACTATCTCGTGCCGGGCCGCGCGGCCTCCGGCGGGCCGCGCGGCTCCCGGGGTTTGGCGTGGGTGGCGCGGCCCTGACGCGCGGGGCGCGCCCGCGGGGGCCGGGGCGCCTGCGGCCGGTGCTCCAGCGAAAACGAGCTGGGGCCGGCCGATCCCTGCTGGGCGCTGGGCGCCGGGCGGAGCCGGGGGGGGGGGCAGGGCCGGCCGGGGGCGAACCGCCGCGGCGGCGGCGGGCCGGCTCGGCGGATGGGGCCTGGGGGCGGGGGGTGTGGGCCGGGCCCGGGCGGCTGCCGGCCGGGCGGCGCACGCGGGGGCGTCGGGTGGCTTCTGCTTGGGCGGCTGGGGCCGGCTGGGAGGGTCGGCCGGGGGCGGGGCTCGGGCCGGGCGGCACTGCGGGGCGGGGGGGCGAGGGGCCACGTGGGGGCGCCCGCTGCGGCCCGATGGCCGCCGACCGGGGGCCGGCGCCGCCCGCGCCGGCTGGCCTTGGGGGGCCAGGGTGGGGCTCGCCGCGGCCGGCTGGGAGGGGTGGCGGGCGGGCGCCGCGGCGGAGGCGCGCCCGCCGCCGGCGGCCCCCGGCCGCGAGCGCGGGCGGGGGGCCCGCCCTGGCGGGGCGGCGCGGGCCGGGGGGCGAGGGGGGCCGTGGGCGGGTTCGCGCGTGCGGGGGGCGGCAGGCGGGGTGGGCTAGGGGCGCCGGGGGCGGCGGCTCGGGGGCTCGGGGGGGCCCCGCGCGACGGCTCGCTGGGGGCCGCGCGGGTGCGCGGGCGGGCGGCGTGGCGAGTGGGGCTGGGGCGCCGAGGGAAGGAGGCGGTGCGGCCGCGGCTGCTGGGCGGGCGTGGGCTGCGGCGGCCCCGGCGCGGCGGGCGGGCGCTGGCGGTGGGGGGTTCTGGGCCGCGAGCGCCCGGAGGCGTGGGGGGGGGGGGTGGCCGCGCGCGGTGGGCTGTGGTGCCCCGTGCAGAGCGGGCCGGCGCCGCGCCCCCGCTGGCTGGCCGCGGCCGGGCCCGGTGCGTGAGGCCCGAGGGGCTGCGAGCCCCGGCGCGTGGGGCTGGGGCGGGTTCCGGGGGGTGGCTCGGCCCGGGCGGCGGGGGCCGGCGAGGCCGCTCTGGGGGGGGGCCCTGCGCCTGCGGGGTGCCGGGGCCGGGGCCGGCGCCCTGGCTGTGGCGCGGCTCGACCCCTCCGGCGCGTGACCCGGGCCCGGCGGCGGGTCGTCGGCGGGGGGGGGGGCGGCGGCGGGGGCCGAGGCCGGGGGCGCGGCGGCTCCGCCGACGCCGAGGAAGTGCGCGCTGGGGGGCGCGGGGACGCGGGGCGAGGGGGGGTGGGGGGCTGGGCGCTCCGAGGGGGCCTCGTCCGCGGCGGCGTCCTGGGGGCCGCCCCAGGGCGGGCGGGCGGGGGGGGGCGGTGGTGGGGCGGCCCGGAGCGCCGAGGCGCGCGCAGGCGGCGTGCGGGGCGCCCGGCGGCGGCGCGGCGCCGGGCCGCATCCCTACGGCGGCGGCAGGGGCGTCGGCGGGGGGAAGGGGCGTGGGCGCGGTCGGCTGGGCCGGGGGGACGGGTGCCGGCTGGGGGCCGCGGCCTTTAATAATTAGAAAACTTTGAATATCCAAATTAAAATGTTATTTATGTTGTTACAAATGCAAATGTACAAGTCAGAGCCTTTTGAATCCATGTTTTAAGTCTGTAGTTTACAGTGATGGGAAGGTAGGAATGTTTAAGTGTGCAGGCCTTAAGCCTAGTGTTTCTACTGTAGGTTTATGTGATAGTTCTATGGATTCATTATTTTATAAGTCATTTCAACTGTGATGCTGTGAATATAGACACAGTTCTTGTTGGAAACATAGTTATTATTAAATAGTTTTCAGCACAAACAGCAAAACAATAATAGTGGTAAATATCTGAGACAAACATGAACGATTTACGAGTGCAGGAGGAAGGCAACAAACGCAGCTACGATTCAAACAAAGACAGGAACAGTTTATAAGTTATATATGTTAGATATAAGTTATATATATGTTAGATAGTCCACAGTCTCCTGTATATCAGGCTCTGAGCCCAAACTGCTTTTCCTTCGAAGCACAAAGCTCTCTGCTCCATAGTGCCTCGTCCATGCTCCTGCTGCAGCCGCTCCGTGCTTCCTTCCAATACACACACACGGACCAATCACAGCGGAGCTTCCTTGCGGCGACCCATAAAGCCTAGTTTATACTCGCGCGGGGCGGAGCTTACGGAGGTGACGTGACGTCACTTGCGCAACGCGTTGGTCACCGCAAGGCCCTTACGTTGCCTGTCCTGCAGCATCGAAATTTTCTAACTACGTAGGGTCGCCGCAAGGAATCTCCGCTGTGATTGGTCCGTGTGTGTGTATTGGAAGGTATCACGGAGCGGCTGCAGCAGGAGCATGGACGAGGCACTATGGAGCAGAGAGCTTTGTGCTTCGAAGGAAAAGCAGTTTGGGCTCAGAGCCTGATATACAGTACAGGAGACTGTGGACTATCTAACATATATATAACATATATCTAACATATATATAACATATATCTAACTTATATATAACTATATCTAACATATATCTAACATATATCTAACGTATATCTAACATATATATATAACTTATATCTAACTTATATATCACTTATATCTAACATATATGCACTCGTAAATCGTTCATGTTTGTCTCAGATATTTACCACTATTATTGTTTTGCTGTTTGTGCTGAAAACTATTTAATAATAACTATGTTTCCAACAAGAACTGTATCTTTATTCACAGCATCACAGTTGAAATGACTTATAAAATAATGAATCCATAAAACTATCACATAAACCTACAGTAGAAACACGTGTAATGAGCTCAAACAGCTTTGTTTGTTATTGTTGTTCTGAAGAGGACAAAGTAGCAGCGTAAATGGGACCGTTCCTGTGTGATCGCCCTCATGTGGTTTGTTGTGGGATTACAACATTCTCCTCAAAACTCCGTAAGGGGAACGCGCCAGTATAACATTAATTGTGCTTACGTAGGTCCACCGCAACCGCTAACGTAAGCCACGCCGCGCAAGTATACACTAGGCTTAACGTAGTTAGAAAATTTTGATGCTGCGCGGCAGGCGACGTAAGGCCCTTGCGGTGACCAACGCGTTGCGCAAGTGACGTCACGTCACCTCCGTAAGCTCCGCGCCGCGCAAGTATAACTTAGGCTTTAGTGACGACGCATACACTCGCGTACACACACGCACACACTCATGCGCACGCACACACTTGCGCGCGCTGTTGGAGGGAGACAGGACGGCAGGAGCCGCGGTCTCGGACTAAACTGAGGCCTGGACTCCACCGGGCGCGTCTCCGTTGACGCGCGTTGGCTGCTGTCCGTCGGACGTCCATAAAAAAGACTAGTGGTCGAACCGGCTGCAGCAGCAGCAGCTCTGGCTGTGCGTTTATCAGCCTGCTTTGTTTTTGTAGGAGACACGTTTGGGCATTGTGTGAATAAATGAATGTTTGGCTGATGGAGGAGTCATGTGTTGTCGGCGTACATGTGTGCGTGTGCGTGAGAGCGCCTGTGTGTGTGTGGTGGGAGGCGCGTGTGTGTGCGTGCATGTGTGTTTGGGCCTGTGACCGCAGCGATTATTATGATCCAGCCTCTTCGTTTGTTTTCTATACTTATTTAGCGCGTCATACACTTTTATCGGACCCAACTCGCCTCTCCGCGGCTTTAGGCAACAGGCAGCCGCTATAGTTTTAAATAGAAGAAGCGGTGTGTGATTTGAATGAGCTGTGGCTATGATCAGTGCAAAGCACAGCATATTGAAGCATTGAGGACGTCGCGATGGATGAAGCAAAACTTATTGAAAGCAATTGGAAAAAGGGGAGAGAGAAAAGAACTCTAACATATCCTGTGTGTGTGTGTGTGTGTGTGTGTGTGTGTGTGTGTGTGTGTGTGTGGAGAGAGCGCCTCGCAGGTAGAGGGGACAGAGCAAGCCCCGGCGATCCAAGATGGCGCCCTATTCAAATGAATGGTTGTGCTCAGTGGCGCTTTTTGACGGCATGGGGGCTGAAAGATTAGCGGAAGTCGCCTGGAACTCTCAAAGATCTATGGGAAAGTCGCCTGTATTTGGGCATCGTCTGGTCCTCCCGGTTCTGCGCAGTGTATTATCTCCCATAATGTGTTGCGCTAAACACGCGTGTTTGGGCCTGTCACGGTATTTTTTTTTGACTGGCGATAAATTTCTTCTTAAATTATCTCGATAAACGATAATATCTTTACACAGCGTTTTTATTGCAAGAATTAAAAAATACAGTAAAACAATTCAAATGTTTAACCAGCCACCAGACATGGTGCCTTCCTAAGAAATTATGAAATTCAAAACAATATTTCACTTGACAAATGTATAAACGTAAATTGCCTTGTTCAGAATAATAGTTTTAGCAATTGCGAGCGAGGAAAACAAACATGTTAACCTTGTGTGGTTTAAGGCAAGACCTCTCAGGGGTCTCTTTGTTCCCTGCTGTGCTGAACATTCGTTCTGAACTCGTGCTTGTGGCACAAATGCACATGTATTTTTTTGCAAGCTTGGAGATTAAGGGAAACCTTTTTTGGTTATCACGCCACCAAACCAAGGGATCAGATGATGCATCTAGTGCTTCTTCCTGCAGATACTTTGTTAGTTCCTGGTTTGCTTGTTCTCTCACTGGTACAGCCTCATGTGTTTGTGTCACACGTTGAACTCTCCTGCTTTGTAGGAGATCACTCAATGTTTTTCTTTTAGCACCTGAAGGCCTCTGTTCCGCCACTTCTGCTGTCTCCATCTCTGCAGCTGCACTGCTTGTACCCGCTTCTTGTGCATCTCCATCCTCCATCTTAAGCAGCTCCTCAACAAGCTCTTCCTTGGTGTCCTGCAATACCTCTAAATCCTCCAAACTGCCTCTGTGTCTTGGATCCACAATGGTTGCTTTCCTTAGAAGACTTTGTATATTAGGAGAGCAGTATTTATCTACCAACACCCTGCTCGTGTTGGTCTTGATCTTTGTTGTGAGGTCAGTGTCTTCTGGACTTGGTGCTAACAGTTCACCTTTGATGAGCTCCAGCACTGGCTTTATTGAGGACACTGTGACATACTTCTCACCAGAAAGTATGTCAGTGAAGTCAGCAACAGGCTTCAAGGCTGCATTTATTGACTCCAGCACAGACACATCTTGCCATGTTGGGTTGAGGTGGCCATGTTTTCTATCCTCCACTAGGATTCTTCTGATAGCTGCAGCTGCTCCAGTACTCCGTCTATCATCTTTTGTTTACTGCCCCATCTGGTGGCCACATCCTGTAAGACAGAAAGCATGTTGTACATCACATTATATGTAGTAATGAATTTGATCTATTTATCTAAGAAGTTCTATTTTATATAATGGAGGGATTTATACTTTATATCAGACTGTAAATTAGACAAAGTTAATCATTTAGTTTTAAAGTATTTCAATTAAAACAATGTTTAAAATGTTAAAAAAAATTGCCATTTATAAAACTAACTCACCAGTACAAGTGTGTGCTGAGGGAGGCCAGCTTCAGTCTGTGCCTTCATGAGATCCCTCCTCTTTATCCAGCTCACGTTGAAGATGGTCACAAGATTCCTACAGAGTCCACACGCACGCGACGTGCGTTCTTTTTCTGCGTTTAAGGCATTTGTGATAGCCAAATGCAGATTGTGGCCAAAACAATTGAGCCACGGCCAGCCAAGATTGCGTATTGCTGCCACAATATTAGCACCATTGTCAGTAGTAATGCACGAGAGTCTTCTTTCCTGCAGTCCCCATTCATCCAGTGCATTTAATGTTTTCAGCCAGGACAGCGGCAGTGTGGTTCTCAGGCACATATCTTGTTTCTAAACATTTGGAGTGCAAAGACCAATCCTCCGTAATGTAATGCACTGTGAGGCTCATATATGGGGTCATGTTAGAGCTGGACCACATATCTGTCGTTGCGGAGAAGAATTGTACATGTTTTATGTCATTCAGAACACCACTTTTGACTTTGTTGTACAACGCAGGAATGGCAGTTTCAGACATGTACGTCTTTTTTGGTAACTCGTATTGTTTATCAAAGTCCCGCAGCATGTCTCTAAACGCGGGTTTATCCACAGTGTTAAATGGCAACATCTCTTTAGCGATGTAGTGTGTTACGCTGTTTGTGAGGGTGCGCCATTTTACGCTCTCACGTTTATACTTTGTCACCTGGGCAAAACAATCTTCTACGAAAGGCTGTCTACCACGAGATGGTCCTGCCTGTTCAATAGCAGCCTTTTCTCCCAGCTGTGCATACACACTTGGGTGGTTATGCTTCAGATGCGCTTTGAGGTTTGTGGTGTTTCCAGTCTTTGTTGCGACAACTTTTTTGCAAAGACGACATACCGGCTGATTCAGATTGCTGGGCTCCCCACGTGCGTTCGGCTTGTAGCTGAAATGTTCCCATACTGCGGCTGTTGAATGGGGCTTCTTGATCA